AAAAAAAAAAAAAAAAAAAAAAGCCTAATAATGCAGAAGGCTAAACTTGCTTAGAGTGGGGAGGAAACGTAAAACGACATTTCACATAAAAGACCCCGAAAAGCCAAAACAATCTTGAGAAAGAAAGATGGAGCTGAAAGAATCAGGCTCCTGGACTTCAGACTATACTACAAAGCTACAGTAATCAAGACAGTATGGTACTGGCACAAAAGCAGAAATATAGATCAATGGAACAGGACAGAACACCCAGAGATAAACCCGCACATATGGTTACCTCATCTTTGATAAAGGAGGCAAGAGTATGCAATGGAGAAAAGACAGCCTCTTCAATAAATGGTGCTGGGAAAACTGGACAGCTACATGTAAAAGAATGAAATTACAACACTTCCTAACACCATACACAAAAATAAACTCAAAATGGATTGAAGACCTAAATGTAAGGCCAGACACTATAAAACTCTGAGAGGAAAACATAGGCAGAACACTGTATGACATAAATCACAGCAAGATCCTTTTCGACCCACCTCCCAGAGAAATGGAAATAAAAACAAAAATAAACAAATGGGACCTAATGAAACTTAAAAGCTTTTGCACAGCAAAGGAAACCATACACAAGATGAAAAGACAACCCTCAGAATGGGAGAAAATATTTGCAAACGAAGCAACGGACAAAGGATTAATCTCCGAAATATACAAGCAGCTCAATATCAAAAAAACAAACGACCCAATCCAAAAATGGGCAGAAGACCTAAATAGACATTTCTCCAAAGAAGATATACAGACTCCCAACAAACACGTGAAAAGATGCTCAACATCACTAATCATTAGAGAAATGCAAATCAAAACTACACTGAGGTATCACCTCACACCGGTCAGAATGGCCATCATCGCCATCATCAAAACACCTACAAACGATAAATGCTGGAGAGGGTGTGGAGAAAAGGGAACCCTCCTGCACTGTTGGTGGGAATGTAAATTGATACAGCCACTATGGAGAACAGTATGGAGGTTCCTTAAAACACTAAAAATAGAACTACCATACGACCCAGCAATCCCACTACTGGGCATATAGCCTCAGAAAACTATAATCCAAAAAGAGTCATGTACCACAATGTTCATTGCAGCACTATTTACAATAGCCTGGACATGGAAGCAACCTAAGTGTCCATCGACAGATGAATGGATAAAGAAAATGTGGCACATATATACAAGGGATATTACTCAGTCATAAAAAGAAATGAAATGGAGTTATTTGTAGTGAGGTGGATGGACCTAGAGTCTGTCATACGGAGTGAAGTAAGTCAGAAAGAGAAAAACAAATACCGTATGCTAACACATATATATGGAACCTAAAAAAAAAAAAGGTTCTGATGAACCTAGGGGCAGGACAGGAATAAAGACACAGATGTAAAGAATGGACTTGAGGACACGGGGAGGGGGAAGGGTAAGCTGAGACGAAGTGAGAGAGTGGCACATATATACACTACCAAATGTAAGATAGATAGCTAGTGGGAAGCAACTGCATGACACGGGGAGATCAGCTCGGTGCTTTGCGACCACCCAGAGGGGTGGGATACGGAGAGTGGGAGGGAGACGCAATAGGGAGGGGATATGGGGATGTATGTATATGTATAGCTGATTCACTTTGTTATACAGCAGAAACTAACACAACACTGTAAAGCAATTATACTCTAATAAAGATATTAAAAATAACGAAACAAAACAAAAAATGACGTTTCATACTCAACATCACAGTCTAAAGCAAACGGCTGTCACTGCACGGATAATTTCCTGTGTGTGATGCGAGGCTGCCGGACAGCAGCGAGCACTTTTATCCGGGTGCTCAGAGAGTCGCAGGCAGAACCAGGATCCAAAACTAACAAAAACGTGGGTTTGCAAATTTACAAATTCAAATTCTCAGAAAATTGGAAGGCTGAACCGAAAGCATTTCAAATGATACATGCTAGGCTTAAAAGCTTCCTGGCTCCTGGAAATGTGGGTGACAGGCAGGCCAATTCTGGAGTGTTTACTACCAGGCGATCAGCTAGTTCTAATCCTGGCTAAGGTTAAAAATATAGAAGACGGTTATTCCAGATTGAATGGGAGAAAAATCTGCATCTTCAGGGAATGACATTAAGGATACTCTGAGGAGACGAATGCAAAATCTCTAAATATCTTGAATAGCTTCAATAAGAGAATTTGCATTTAAAACAAAGAAAGAATTAATTATGTGCAGACCAAAGCAGATAGCATGCCCTTGGATAAAAAAATAACAGGCGGGACTTTTTTTTTTTTTTTTTTTTTGTGGTACACGGGCCTCCCACTGCTGTGGCCTCTCCCGTTGCGGAGCACAGGCTCCGGACGCGCAGGCTCAGCGGCCATGGCTCACGGGCCCAGCCGCTCCGCGGCATGTGGGATCTTCCCGGACCCGGGCACGAACCCGCGTCCCCTGCATCGGCAGGCGGACTCCCAACCACTGCGCCACCAGGGAAGCCCGGGACTTTTAAATGGTAGTTTTTATTTGTTTATTTGCTTTAGCTGAAAAACAACTCCGTATTTCTTAGGAGATTCTATTTTTCTAAATCATATGTTTTAAATATCAAATATAACGATAACTTTAACATTTTTATTAAGCAGATCTCTTGCAAGCTTAAAAGAAATGTCTTATTGAGTAACAGTAGACCAAAACTAAAAATAGGAGAGAAATGTTGTTTTTTAATTTTGGGAGAACATGGTAACAGTTTTGTCTAATTCTATAGAAGTAATCAGCCTCTAAGACAGATGAAAAGACTTGACTCTCACCACAAAATTTACAAACCTATAACTCTAGCCAATGAAGAAAGAAATTTATCTTATGGAAAAATTTCTAATAACTGGTTTAAAATTTATTTTAAAAGGCTAGCACTTACAAAATTATTTTAGTTTCCAAGTTTAAAGGATTTGTTTTCTGTTATTTCCAAGACTCATTTTTTAAGAAAGTAATTTTTGTCTCTGATTTTCTTGTACGCATACCACCATGAGTGATTCATGGGATTCTTGGGGAGCAAATGGATTTAATGGGACAGAATCCTACAAGGCAACAAGAAACTCCTTGGGTATTTCCTGCGACATGCGTCTACTACTCTCAAGAAGAATTTCAGCTCGTTAACTTTTATTCTGCAAACTTACTGGGCAGATAGAGGAAACAAGACCATAGAAAGTCAAGCGAGAGGCAAATGGTAAGATAACCAATAGAAACACACTTTTGCAAAATTTTGCACATTAACCAGAGAGGAAGGTGGTATACCATTGGTTTGTTTTCTAAAAAAGACCATGGTTTAGAGCTCCTCTATCCAATATGGCAGCCACGAGCCAGATGTGGCTAACTGAATCTTAATTCGTTAGTTAAAATGAAAACTCCTTTTCCTCAGTCACACTAGTCACATTTCAAGTGTGTGCTACCCATGTGGCTAGTGGCCACTGTTTGGATGGTACAGATATGGAACATGTCATCAGAGAAAGTGCGACTGGACAGTGCTGGTTTGGAGGATGGGCAAAGGAGACGGACAGGGTAGAAAGAGTGACCTGAGTTACTACAGCAGATCAGAAAGTGGGCACAGTCACCCTGCTATCTTTGAGTAAGGATTTCTTTTACAGCATGAAAAAATTCAAATGACTATCCTAAAGTTTTAGTTTATTTTCCTTTTAACTAAAATGAGTAAGGTGTTGATCACGCCAGAAGGTGTTAAGTGCCTTACACATTATTGCCTTATTTAATCTTCATCACAGAGTACGAGGTAGGCAATATTGTAATGCCATCTTACAGATACTAAGGGACGCTTAGAGAGAGCATGTGACCCACCCAAGATCACACAGCTAACGTCTGGATTGCAAGCATGCTTCATCCCTCCAAAGCCAGGGCTCTTGGCCAGCCAGCAGGGAACTGCATTTGAGACAGAGGCACAGAAAATGCACTCCAGATACCACTATAGACACTGCTGCACAACAGGGGCCAAGGCCAGGTGGGTGGCTTGTTCTTAGTGAGAGTTTTTTCTCCCCTTGGCCTAATGCTTCCTTGATATTGAGCATGAGAACTTTCTATTGACAATGGAATGGTATCACTTTCTAATCCCATTCTTGTCCCTAGCCCCCACCCATCCGCTCTGAGCTTTCCAAGTCCAGCCACTTCTTTTCCTAGGTGTCCCATGACAGCTTTTGAGAATGCCCTGGACCAGTTCAACCAGAATGCAGTGGTCACCAAACAGTGTATCTGATGTCCCAATATTCCTCCACACATCGATATCCTAAATCAATGAGATCTCTTAAATATCCTGTTAACCAATGACTTCAACGTCCCAACAAAATGCTTAGAAAATGACAGTTTATCACTTATTATATACTAATGACTTTTTTAAAGCTCTCTGAAGTTGCCCGAATGGTTGACATCCAGACCACTTAGGTGGAAGGTGCACGTGACCACACTTTCTGAGGACCTTGCAGGATAGCACCTGCCACAGAGGCCAAGAAGGAGCGAGCGCGGATGAGAGCCTACCTCCGAGGCGAGCCGTCGTCGTGGGGCTGGATGATGGCTACCTTCACAGTCACCGAGGTCCGGAGAAGGTCGATCATCTGCTCGTGCGTCAGCGTGGCCACGGCCACCTTGCAGATCTCCACGAGGCGGCTGCCCTGACGAAGGCCGGCCTTCCACGCAAAACCGAAAGGTTCCACGTCTGCGACGATTCCTTCGAAGTTCACGTGGAAGCCCAGCTGGCCGAGCCCGTTCCTCCTCAGGGTCATTTCCACAGTCTCGCAGCCCCTGGTCACGATCTAAGGGGGAAGGGGACCGTGAGGGGTGGCACTGCGGGGGGGGCACACATCCCAGCGACAAGATGACAAGACAAGGACACGGTTCAATCCAGACTTTACCGTAATTACCCCTGGCATCAGGCGCAATGAAAATAACAAAAGTAAAACAAAGGTTTCATTCTTCAAAGGCAAACCAGGTACAGGTGTCCTGCTTTTTCCTAGAAGCCACTGACACAGAGCCTGTGAGATTAAGACGGGCTCTGATAACTCCCCCCTCTCCTTTCTACGTCACCTAACTTGGCTCTTAAGCATATAAATTCCATTGTTCCAGATGGACTGAAGCAACTGAAAACATGTGAAGCCTTTCACCCATCAAGCAATAAAACCTATTAGACAATTTTTTTTTTTTTTTTTTGGCCGTATGGTGTGGCTTGTGGAATCTTAGTTCCCCGACCAGGGATGGAACCCGGGCCCCTGCCAGTGAGAGCGCCGAGTCCTAACCACTGGAGAGCCAGGGAATTCCCTGTTAGACAATTTTAGTCAACTTAAAAAAATGGCCCAATGGTGCAGCAGCTATGGAAAGCAGCATGGCAGTTCCTCAAAAAATTAAAATGGAATTACCATGAGACTCAGCAATTCTACTTCTGGGTATATACCCAACAGAATTTAAAGCGGGGTCTCAAAGAGGTACACCCAGGTATTTGTACACCCACATTCTTAGCAGCGTTATTTACAATAGTCAAAAGGTGGAATTAACTCAAGTGTCCATGGACGGTTGAATGGATATGCAAAGTGTGCCATATACAAACGGTGGAGAAAAAAATGGCCCAAAGCCCTTCCAAGCTAACAGTTAGCGCCCTGCCCACAGGATGGGCAGCAGCAGGAAGTCAGACTGTCAGGAAAACCTTAAGTGCTCTCTGTGCACCAGGCCTGCGGACATCCTGTTCTAGCCCCTAGGATCCCTCTCCTGGGGACAGCCTGCCCTTGCCTGCCCTTGCTTGCTTGGGTGCTAAGGACCATTCAGATCAAATGTGGCCAGTCAGCTGGCCTCCTTGGTGTCTGTAGACAAGCATCCCACTCAGTGAACTAAAGCACCAATAATTAGTTAATGCCACCCTCAGAAGTGCTTAATGAGAATAGCCCACATGCACTGAAAGAAAAACATGGGCTCATTGAGAATATCATTTGATGACCACGACATCACTTACTTGTGGGCAGCTGGAAGTTGCGAGGTATCATACCCGTATCCCCCAAAGCACAGAGTTTCAGTTTTCATAAATGCTTCATTTCCATGAAACACGCTCTGAATACACAGATTCCTATTTAAGAAGACCTATGACTGTAAGTACAGCTGTGGGACCGGGGCTGGTTCATGGTTATCACTGGTGTGGCGGACGTTACCGTGGTTATTACCGCCACGGCGCCCACCCTGCTAATCAGGCACACATGACAGCTTGGGGCTTAGGAAAATGGGGAAAGGGATTGCTGGTCTCAGTGGTGAAGTTTTGAAAGACTGAAGTTTCCAAAGTTACGAACTGAACTAATTTAAAATTGTTGAAAAGGCACTTTTGTAATATATACAACCTGAATAAATTTGTCCTTCACTTCTTTTTCAGCTTTGTTTCAACGAAGCTCTCTGACCAAAAGACTACATCTGACATGTGCCCAGCCTTCTCTCCAATATGGATGCAATTTTCAGCTGAAATTTAACATCCATATATCAGATTGAAGAGTGAAAGGTTTTTCCGAGTCCTACCTGTTCTGTCTCTTGCTCTTATTTCTTCCAACCACCTGCCACGTCCCCTACTTTTTGCGATTTCTTGGCAACAGGAGAGCATTCAACCAAGCCTTTTTGCGGTACGCGGGCCGCTCACTGTTGTGGCCTCTCCCGTTGCGGAGCACAGGCCCCGGACGCGCAGGCTCAGCAGCCATGCGTGGCATGTGGGATCTTCCCGGACCGGGGCACGAACCCGCGTCCCCTGCATCGGCAGGCGGACTCTCAACCACTGCGCCACCAGGGAAGCCCTAGGTGGGAGCTCTTATTCCCCACCTGTGTCTTTACCTGCATAGCAGACACCTTTGATTTCACTTCCCACCACTAGAAAATGCAGAGTTCACCATCTGCCCAGTAGCACCCCTTCCCCATCTCTCCACTACGACAGCTTCATCCTCTTCCTTTCCATTTCTGTTGCTCCTGTCCTGCACCAGCCTTTTGTTCTAACCCCCCAACAGTCTTTGGGTTGGTTTGTTTCCACCATCTCCTGTTACAAGTCATCCGAGATACAGAATATACTTCCTCAAATATATTCCAGATTATCCGGCACCTTAGTCACATTAGCAATATAGTCATTTTTCTAGGAAAATGGTAGAATGGGGTCCACAGAACAGTGAATGTGTCAGAACCTACGGGACGTGCATTTTGGTGGTTGGTGAAGGGGGTGTGTTTATGTTGTATTTTCCGGAGCACAAATTATGATGACTCAGTAGGTCTCCTAAAAAGACGTATTTGCAGTATTACTAAAAGCACAGTGTGCCCTGACACTCACAAGATAACTCAATTCTCCAGATACGTAAACTGATCACACACTTAATCATCCCTGAATCACATCTCAGCTTGCACACATACGCCCTCAATACTGTTGAACACACTGAGGCCCTTTCCTGTAAAGAGCGTCTGCAAATAATGACATTATTTCTCCAAGACCAGCAGACACTGACATGATTGCATTGTCTCATCTACGTGGTCTGGAATAATAAAAGGTTTATATTTGGTGGGAGGAAAGGGGGCAGGAAATGGGTATAATTTCTCTTTTTCTCATGATCCATAACCGACTAAATCGTCTCTAATTAATGAAATATCCATCCCCTTGGGGGAAGATTCACACATGAAAAATTCTTTCGTCAAAGCACATTTTGTTCTTATATTTCATTTATTCTTAAAATTCTATTGTATATGCTCAAACTAAAATCTGTATCTTCCTTTGTTAAAATATGAAGTAGAAATACAACTGTTAAATACCACGGACATCATGGTTTTGTACTGCAAATAACAATCTTTTTTATGACTTTTTTCTTCAAGTCTTTCTAACTTAACGGGTAATTCTATAAAACCTCTGTAAGAGACTGGCTGCAAGATTACTAACATATTTAATCTGGCAGACTAAACAAAAATACCTGTTGTGTAAGTACGCAGAGGTGAAACAGCGAAGAGGGCTTACTCTGACCATCAGTATGGTCAACGGTGATTCTGTGCCTATTAATTTCCCCCCGGGAAGGTACTGTCGTGCCAGCCTCTACAAACAGACATAATATCTAGTAAATTCTTGTCCTTCCTTGAAACACTATGAAAATATATCCCGATGTTCCCTTTGGAAAGTTGGCTTCACTTTTCCTTTCCAATCAATTTGTAATGGGTGTTTCGCCACCATTCATGGATTCAGCAACAGCTCTAAAGGACACAGCATTGAAAATCAAACCCTATGACACAACACTGTTAATCAACTATACTCCAATATAAAATAAAAATTTAAAAATTAAAAAAAAAATTAAATCAAACTCTACCCCTAAGAAATAGTAATTCACTTCCTAGGTGATGTAACTGGGGAGGAAGTTCCACAGCAGAAGCTACTACGAATCTGGGATTGCAGAGCTAAGGATGGTGGATAAACAGAAACCTGTACTTACCCCCAATCGCTGGACAATTTCCCTGACGTCTTCGGCACAGTTGTCCACCGAGGACAGAAGGATGCATTCTCCTCGTTCGTAAAACACTTTGATACTCACTAACCCAGATGTCCACCCAATGACATCCCTGCAGGAACAGTTAAAGACCACGTTCTTGGAATCCTTCTCGATCAGCATTATGAACTCGTTGGAAATCCCAAGGAGACACTCAATGTCCGAGGACTGGCCAAAGTCCCGCGCCACAACGTGCCACGTGATCGCGCCGACGCTGAAGAGGTGGGCATCCTTCCTGGGCTTTACTTTCTCCTTCTTCTTGGCACCCAGGGTAATGAAGCTGAATTTCGCGGACGTATCCACGGTGGCGGTTGTGACAAAGTTCTCCGCCAGGTCCTTCAAGTACTCCTGCCTCGTCCGAGTGGCCATCGCTCGAAACTTCTCTGATTTGTGGGCTGCGTTTTCTGCATTGATTACTTTCGCTAAAAGGAAGTCCCGGAATACTGCTGACTTTGGGAAAGTTACGCCTTTGGGAATTGGTGGACCAAATGGTGGCACATCTTTTGATCTAGAAACTCCAACACTGAGGGAGGAAAAGAAGAAACAAGATGAATTGTGAGGCCGTAATAGTTAGCTTCAGAAATGTGACATACACCCACACTTTCGACTGAAGCCAGCTACTTTGTAGTCTCTTGGTATGCTCATTTCTGGGTATCAAGTTTTTCTTTGTTTTTAGCAAAACTTTTCAAACTTAGTAGTTGAGGGGGTGTTAGGGGCTGAGTAGTGTCCCTCCAAAATTTGTATGCTGAAGTCCAAAACCCCAGTACCTGGGAATGTGGCTGTGTTTGGAGATCAGGTCTTTCAAGAGATGATTAAGTCAAAATGAGGCCATTAGGGTGGGCCTTAATCCAGTCTAACAGGTGTCCTTACAGAAGGAAACCTGGACACACAGGAAGATACCAAGGATGCACACACACAGAGGAGAGACCATGTGAGGACACAGCAGTTAATCTGTAGGCCAAGGAGAGAGGCCTCAGGAAAAACCAAACCTGCCAACCCCCTGATCTTGGACTTCCAGCCTCCGGAACTGTGAGAAGTAAGTGTCTGTTGTTTAAACCACCGGGTCTGTGGTCCTAGTCACGGCTGTGCAAGCGGACTAAGGTAGGGATGAGGGATCTGTAGCCAGGCTGGTGCTCTGTGGCTGGTCACCACTGAGAGGCAGCGACACTTTCAACAGCAGTGCCGTTAGCCCAGCCGGCTATTCGCGATCTCACTGCTATTGGACACAGTGATCATGCTTACAGGGCCCAAAGTTTTGAATGTCACTTTTTTTAAGGGAATGCTCACTTGATCACGTTTTGAAAATCTAAATGAAGATTTTATAGGAGCAAAGTTTTAAGAGATTCCAGAGACTGAAAAGGTCAAATGTATAGTGACGGCAATAACCATCTTAATATGGCAAAACCAATAATGCTCTCCCCTGTATCAGACAGAAGCTTTCGCTGTCTCAAATCCTTTTTGAAATAAGAGTGAATTAATGAATGAGCAGGTGAAGGACTGGAGTGAGTGAATGAATGAACCCCACAGCACGCCCCAGTTACTGAGCAGCTACTGCAGACCAAGAATGGGAACCAACCCCACATCTGCCCAGGCTGGTATTTTCTGTGTTGGGATAAACAAAGGAAGCAACCTACGTTTCATCTTCTTCATGGTAGAAAATCCTGAAAGAGGTGATTCAGGAATGAAAACATTAGGTGTGAATTCCTTTTCTGGAATGTGGCTGGTTAGACTCCAAATAGGTCACAGTCCCCAGGGATCCCTCCCCTTTGCTGTAACCTGCACACCCTTCCGCGGCGTTCATCATTTCCGGGGAGAGAGCTATACGATGGAAGAGGGTCTGGGCGGGGCCTTAGCTGGCGTGAAAGGGGAGGGAAGGACTGCTTCCCTTTGGGACAGAAGACCAAACTCACTCACATGCATGGTAGTAAAGGCGCTGAACCAGAGAGGGAGGTGGGGGGACTTGACTCATGTCCTCAAGGAAGGTCCTAGGAACATCGTGGAGGTTTCAAATGGCCGAGGGGCTGACACCATATATGACCCGTCTTCCCCTCACTACCATCCTTAGGAATAACCTTCTAGACCGAGTAGGAATTAACTTGTCCTCAGGCGTTATTTCGTAGAGAGCTGTCCCAAAGCTACATGTCTGGACTGTGGGTAGTGTAGCCACACCTGTTGCTTCCCCACCAGAACGATCAACCAGCTCAAGTGGCCTCTCAGTGCACTGGACCCTGCCCTCCCGACACTGGCCATAATCAGCTCATGTGATCACCTCTCCTAAACATGGTTTTCTCTTCCAGTGATGGGCACAGGTTCCTGGAAGTATTTTACCCATGGAACGCTGAGGAGGTCAAATCCCATCTAACACCTTACAGGATTACTTTTTGCACTTAGCTCTGTGGATCTCAAGCTACTGTCTGTGGATGCACTTAAGCCGAAGCATCAGGGCGAACTTTTTATATCTAAATGTGTTCCAAGACGGCTCTCACTGTGGAGCTCCAGAGTGGGCAGAGAGAGACATCTGTTAACAGGGCGATTCTTCTTGTCCCAAATTATTAAGCCAAATGTCTAACTGGACACCTCCACTACAGTGTATGGTGCAGTGTGGCTCGATAAACCACTATCCTATGTATCTCAGATCAAAGTGGTACCAAAAAAGAAGCAGAATCCAGGCACAGCTGTTGCTATGATCACTATTACTACTATTACTAGCCCATGATCACCATGATAGTCTGAGAATGGGGATCAATTAGAAACCCCTGGTTACAAAAGCTTATATAGTCCGTAATGCTTTCAAGCAGAGTTAAGATGGAATATTCTTTTGCCAGACCGGGATAATTCCCAGTGGGTGGAAACAAGAGTATGTTTTAGAATTTCTTATTTTACCCAAATAACTTGATAGCATTTACTGATGATTTAGACATAAGACCCCTCCACTGAGGGCAACGGTACAAAGAAGAGCCTTCCTTCACGTGCCAGTTAAAGGGTTTTAGGAAAGCAACGTGGGGTACAGCAGATTCCAGGATCCGGTGCTCCTCGTAGGAGTCCAGCTCCACCACTTTCTGAGGGACTCTGAGTTACTTAATCCCTCAGTGCCTCGTCTGTGAAACGGGGGTTAAAACAGTACCATCCTCAAAAGCACGCTATGAGGATTAAACAAAATAATGCATATGCTAAGCTATTATTAACTCAACTGTTAGCATGACTACAATTGCCACAAACAATTATCGTTTTCATCGTCGATTTAACATTACCATCTAATGCTTGTAAGAAGGGGACACATAGTAAGTTTTCTAAAATGGAAGTCATCGTTTTATATAGATGCTACTTCCCTTTTAAGTGACAGTTAGCTACTAAGCCTCCACACAGCAAGACGTTTACTCATTCAGTTATTAAAGGATGCATTTTGCAAAGAGTTTATCTTGAAAAGCACACAAACACATAAATCCCTCAGAGTTAGCTCTACAATGGCTACAACCATTGAAGTGAAAGAATCTCGCATAAAGAAACAGGTAATCAGTTAAGTTTGCTTTTTAATAATTTTAGGCTAAAATTACATAACATGGAGCTTTGTGGATGTTGCCCCATTATTTCTTTCTAGGTTCAACTGGCCCCAGCATCACCGAGAGAGAGCCCTGCTGTATCCAGGGGGCACGCCTCGGACTTCTCTGGAAGGTGGGAGCCTGCTCTTTCGCACTCCAGACGCGTGCCCTGGTTAGCAGCACGCTTTTATCAGAGGAGGGCATCTCGCCCCAGCAGTCTGCCTGGACCATGCCTCTGAGCTACGTGGTACTACAGGTCGTGATCCGCCAGAACTCACTGCCACTCAGCGCCTGTGCAAAGCTCACGGGACGAACGACGCACGGGGGTCACAGGAGTGTGTGCGGCCAACCCAGCCTTCTATAAAACGCGCCCGTGATTCAGACGGAGCAACCTAGAAAACAGCAGACCTGGACTATATTTTATCATTTCCTTGGAAATTATTTTAATGAATTTATTTTGTGACTGGTATGTTTTGAGGAAATCATAGGAAACAGACCTATGAGGTGTTTCTGGAAAACCTGGGCACTGTAACCTTATTCCCTGTGACAGAGTAAACACATCTTCATAAAAATGTCATGGAATCGATTTGACTAGTTTTCCAGAAGATTACAATTGATTCTTTGAAGGACACTCATGAGGTGGTAAGTGTGATCATTATGAATGTTTATGAGGCACTTCCAAAACCTAGAGGCACTCCACTGCTTTACATTTGAATCTCATTAGTAAATGATAATTTAGTGATGGCAACGTGGTATCTGCAAAGGCAATGACCCCATCTTTGAACCATCTGTACAAGCTGGTTTCTACCACAGGAAACATAATGCAAGCCACTTTGTTGATAGGTAAGATCTATATCAAAAGCATCCCTCCCCGGTCATTTAATTAAACACAGAAAACCTAAAAGAGATAAAAATAAAGAGGTATTATTTATCCTTAAGATTTTTTGTGCTAATCAACCACCTCATGATAGAAGCATAAACTAAAGATAGAAAGTAATTAAAAATACTTGATTTGACCTAAGAATAGCAGCCTCTACAATAACACCAAATACAATAAAGCCCTAGGCTTATGTTTCCAATCCATTAGGAAGGCTCATTTAAGATTACTCTGCATAATTACCATTCATCAGGGGAGATCCCAGAAGAATAAGCCGACTGAGCATGTTTGCACCAACGTCACCGGTTTTAAACGTACCGTTTATACAGACTAGATGTGCTTTTTTTCAAATATCACTTTTTTTTTTTTTCAATAAAAAGTCGTTCTGAGCATTCAGGCCAGGGGTCTTGAACTGAGGCGCATACAAGTATCACCACGGGGGAAAACCATGCCGACGGGGAGAGCGTGGGGTGGGGATGCAAGCTGGCGACACCAAGCACACAGGCCAGTCTCCTTGCCCCTAGGAGGGCACGGCTGCAGTTCACAGGCCCCTCTGCCCCCTCACACGTACCCAGGCCTGGGCCCCATCCAGGTCCGGGAGGCTGCTCAACCGGTAACCACTGCTTGAAGATGAGCGCCAGGAACTCTAACAGGTGTTCTGCATAATTCCTGCCATTCATTCCTCATAACTACACATTGAAGTGGGTACTATTATCCCCAGTTTTCAGAAAAGGAAATGAAGGCTCCAAAACATAAGCTAGCTCGTTACAAAGCACCATGACGGGGCAGGAGAGCTGGATTCTCACTCAGGTCAGAGACCGGCTCTTTTACTGACACCCCACAAGGCAGGAGCCTTCGGGGACAGCTGTTTCCTAAGGAAGAGCATGGGTACAGGAAGGGCAGACCTCGTCAGTCTCGGGATTCCGAGGCACCTGGATGGCCTTTTGAAATCACCAAAGCGAGTGTCAAACCCCTATCTCGACACACCACCACACCACCGTGTGTGTGTGTTTCCAAGCTCTTAGACGGGAAGAAACATTTTACCACCAGAATGCGCTTCTTTCAGGGAAGCACTGAAATGGCCAGATCCTCCACTTCTGAGGCTGCTATCAATCAAGCGATGGTCTGGCAGGGACTGGAGGAAGTCTTTAACATTGAGGAAAGGTGAAACCTAGGACTGTGAACTGCTAGGAATTTCACTGTTTCAAAATGGGAAGAAGGCAATAATTTCTTACAGAAAGTACCTGAGTGTAAGAGTTCTCTGGTGGCGCAGTGGTTAAGAATCCGCCTGCCATTGCTGGGGACACGGGTTCGATCCCTGGTCCGGGAAGATCCCACATGCCGCAGAACAACTAAGCCCGTGCACCGCAACTACTGAGCCTGTGCTCTAGAGCCCGCGAGCCACAACTACTGAGCCCGCGTGCCACAACTACTGAAGCCCGCGTGCCGAGAGCCCGTGCTCCACAACAAGAGAAGCCACCGCAATGAGAAGCCCGCGCACCGCAACGAAGAGTAGCCCCCGCTCGCCGCAACTAGAGAAAGCCCGCGCGCAGCAACCAAGACCCAACGCAGCCAAAAATAAAATGAAAGAAAAGAAAGAAAAGAAAAGAAAGAAAGAAAGAAAGAAAGTGCCTGAGTGAAGACTGTGGGAAATATAATTAGAAAAAAAAAAGGATAATTATGGGCATAGAAATAATAATTGGAAAACTAATTGGAAGACATTTTGGGGAATGAGGTCCTATTGGAACAACCCTGGGAGCATGAAACGCCAGGGACTCACCTGTAACACACATTTTCAGTGCATGGATTATGCACTTTGACTATGACAAAGACATGTTGAAAGTGGGACCGGATGCTTTTTGGAGTAAAAGGAAGTGCTCCAGGCTCTTGGAAAACAATGGTCACGATGTCATTTCCTATGTGCCTTTTCCTCAGGAGCTGCAGTCAGGAAAGTGAACACACAGAGTTACAGACACGGTTTTCTGTAAAGACAAGATACGTAAATGTACACAATTCACTCAGCATTCAATTTCAAGGAGTTTTTTAGAAAAGCAGAGTCATCCTTCGGAAGCTAGGGCTCCTTGACATGGCTGCGTCCAAAGACCTATGGAAAGAAAAGCCTCAATATTTAAGTTCATCTTTTGCTTTGAAAGGCAACTGGCGTTCTCTCTCCTTTTCATCTTTATCACTTTTTGCCCTGAAATGACAGCACATTAGAGCTAAAATCGCTTTAAGGAATCTTGTAGATTAAGCTCTTCGACTTAAAAGGAGGAGACGGCAGAGCGTCCAGGGGAAGGTACAGTGGCTGAAAGTCCTGCACGAGGGTGTCAGGGGCTTACATGACACGTGCATTTCTGCAACAAAAATACAGAAGACTGTTATTTTGGCGGCTGATATATTCAAGCTAATTAACTGAAATCTAGCCTTTTCAATGTATTTCAGGAACAGAGAATTCCACCAGATTAACAGTTGGAAAATCCAATAAATTACAAGTGCATCAGGAGAGAAGGAACCCCAGGTCAGTAACACCTGAACCCCTTTACTTGCGATGTTCCTTCTGCCGAGAATGCCCCCTTCACCCCAAGTCTCTCCTAGACCACTCAGGTCTCTGCTGAGCTACCAACACACTGGAAAGAATGTCCTTGGAGGGACTGCACAGGCCCTGCACCCATACCCCAGGCCCATGGCGACCACATTAGCTGTCGTGTCCTGTTCTAAGTCTTGGTTTACTTCTCCTGAGTCAGGTCATAATCATGACGAGGGCAGGAGATGTATCTCGTTGACTTTTGGTTTCCCAGTTTCTAATGGGCTGCCCAGGACACAGCAGACACCCACACACACACTGGCTAAGTGAAATAACAAGCGTTACAAACACACAATCACAGCCACGTAACACCGCGCAAGAAAATTGTGACCAACTCTGAATACACACCAACAAATCCATACACTCCGTAAGCTTACGCACCTAAAGCCATCAGGATCTGTGCTCCCAGAGTCTGGGACCCTCAGTTTTCACAGAGACAGTAATCCTTACATGAGTTGGTGATGTCACTGCAGGAACGGGGTAATCTCGGGTAGTAAATCTCTCTTTACGAGCAATAACAGAGGCAACAAGCTCGCGCTTAAATTTATTTGGCACTTACGGAACATACTTCACTGTAAAGAGCATTAATTTCAACTTTTAAAAACCTTTTAAACCCAGATACAAAAAGGATTTCATTGTCAGGCCCCTGACTTGTGATCTAGCACGATAAAAGGCCTGGAAAAGTGGGAACGAAATGTCCTTTCTTCCAGAGTTCCCTACTATGGGCCAGTTAAATCGCTGACTCATATGGTTGAAAACTGCTATTTAAATCCCGATGGTTAAAGTTATAAACACACAAAAATCGTTTTACTGCCTGAGTGAAGTTTTGAAAGCTATACTAATATCCATTAATGAGCCAGCTGTCGTCTTAAAAATGTTCGCTAGATATTTAAGTAAAAGGTGACATTTTAAGATGCACGTAAAAAAATCAGTAGCAAACTAGTCATATATTCACTGTGCTACTATTTACCCATCGTAGAGTGGACACAGATGTTAACCACAGTAAACATTTCATGAAAAGAAAAGAAAACAAGGCAAGCACACGTATCTAAAACAAGCGTCACGGGACTTCCCCGGCGGTCCAGTGGTTACGACTCCTCGCTTCCACTCCAGGGGGGGGCGGGGTTTGATCCCTGGTCGGGGAACTAAGATCCGGCAAGCCGCACAGCGCTGCCAGAAACATAAATAAAAAAATAAAACAAGCATCATGACAAGCTGAAAACTGTACGAGGCTAAGATGTATTCTTCCCTCGTTTCCGCAATAACTGAAATACATGATTCACATGTACCGTAACAGGACAACAAAATTCAGGAACAAATGAAAAATGGAAAGAAAAGCTGAACTACCTAACAGTGTGTTCAATGTATTTGCTGAGCACGAACACAGTGGCCTACACTGTACTTTCCTCTGTATCCTTGAAACGTGGGAATTCTCGAACTCCTTGAAACACGGGAATTCTCAGACTGACGAGAAGATAGATGGAGCTTGCGGGGGCCAAGGCCACGTATGGAATTCTAGGCCCCTCCTTCCTCAGTGACTAGGGCGTCCGCTGGCCACCCTCCTGGGCTAACCTCAGAGGGCAGCCCAGCCTCATTAGTCAGTGAAACGCAGACAGCTATTCCTACCCATTTCTCTTGCTCCTGAAGGAAGACCATGGGTCCAGTTCTACACTTCACCACGGGAACATTTAAAGCGCAAGTGAAAGGAAACTTTAAGGCTAGTTACCTCGACGACGTGCCAACCCACCTTTGCCCCTTTCTAAGCATATTCTTTTGCTTTGTAAAATGGGCTAGAAATAGTTTTAAAATTCTAGTTAATTTAACCACGGTCACAAAATGCACTTTGTAGAAAAAGTGCGGGGGAGGGCGGGGAACAAGGAGATTCATTAAGCAGGGGAAAACAGGGCTTCCCTGGTGGCGCAGTGGTTGAGAGTCCGCCTGCCGGTGCGGGGGACACGGGTTCGTGCCCCGGTCCGGGAAGATCCCACATGCCGCGGAGCGGCTGGGCCTGTGAGCCATGGCCGCTGAGCCTACGCGTCCGGAGCCTGTGCTCCGCAGCGGAAGAGGCCGCAACGGTTAGAGGCCCGCGTAACACAAAAAAAAAAAAAAAAGAGGAAAATAAAATCTCAAGCTCTCTGTAGAGAATAAACAAAGAAAAATGAACACCTGGGCCATCAATAGGATATCTGAATCTTTTCAGAGACTAAAGAAATACAGCATCTGGCAGGTTCACGGAAACATTCATTGTCAGACAGTAAACAACCTAAGTAATTCTTGGGCTTCTTATATAAAGGTTAGGGTTCTCTTCAGCAGTTAGTTATGTCTTGTTCTAACTCGTCAATGAAATTCTGTAGAAGTCGACTCCGGAAATGGAAGGGGAAAGGGCACGGCAGCCCATAAACCAGGTTGGCCCAGCAAGACAGCAAGGCAAGTTCCTGGTCACCAAGACGCCGCCGGTGCTATTTCGGGGATTAAGGAACGACGTCTTCTAGGCCTTTCCAGACGTGAGAAGCTCCTAACACTTCTTCAGTGCCAAGAGGGCCAACTCAAGAGTCTTCAACCGCGAGAGTGAGTTAATAAATATTGTATTAGATTTAGAGTCAATTCTGCTAACTTCCCGACACTTGATTCAAGCTGTGAGCCAGGAATAAGCTCTTGGTATGACGAGGAAAGTGAAACTGTGATTCTTCACCCAATTCCCTGACAAAAAACGTACAGATGCTACAGAAATAGCAACCTGTGGGTTTATCTTCAATTCCTTAAACACACTTCAGGGTTTCACAGGTCCAGTTTTAACTTCGTGCAAGAACTGAAAGCAAGTGGAAACAACCAACCTCCAGGCAGCTGCATATGCATCGAAAATGGCATAAAGTTGAACTTGGTTAGATCTACCAGCCTCTATGCAAATAGGTTAAATTCTTTGTTCAATTCTTTTTTAAAAAAACCTGGGAAGTTTAAAAAAAAAAAGCATGTTGCACCTAATTCTGGAGGAGAGGGGGAAAGAGGCTGCACCGTAACAAGAAGATGTGACGCGGCTGGGATGTCGTTCAGAAGTCGTCTCTCAGGGTCAGCGATGAGAAAGCTTAATTTGAAACTGGAGAAGGCGGATCTCCAGAGAGAGCTTCTTGTCTTAAGAAGCAAACATGTGAAAATGAGCATGATTTCAAAGAGAAAACCACATCGTTTAATGATTACAAGTTCTGAAATTCAAAGAGATGAGTTCAGAAGTGAGGAACAAAATTAAATGTATCCCCTTTTGAAAAAACAATCATAAATTCTGGATCTCAGTCCTTGGGGTATGGTCGGAAAGCCCCAGCAGTAGGAGCAGGGCTGACAAAGACTGGTCTGTCCTGATCCTTCCCGGATTCTGACCCCGTCACCCCCCTCCCCTTCTGGACAGCCACCCTATCCCTGCAACACGCCCACCTGTCTCTGCAGCAGGCACCTTGCGTTTGCCAACCCTTGCTTAGAAAGTGTCTCCCCTTTACACGGTGTGCTAGCTTCTCCTCCTTCAGAGACCGTCCTAACTTTGCACACTTGCACACAGAACATACACAAACACACATGCATGCACACAACACAGCCCCCTCATATTCTCTGTACTCAAAAGAGCATGTACCAGTGGTCAGAATTTTGCTCTCATTTTTAAGAGGCATCTATAAAGTTTCCTGTATAAAGACACAGAAAAAGTGAACATAGAATAGTAGTCTGACCAGCAAGAAAGAGGCGGAAAACCTACACACATTACCACATAAATACAAAAGATCTTGCCTCCTTTGCTTCCACAAAAAAGTGACCTCTAATTAACCACTGTGATCTCAGATCAGTAAGAAGAGTTCAAATTTAATTACCGTTTCAAGGATGCATTGCTGATTTACCATTCTATATAACCAATATAAAAATACTATATAAAATATTTTACCAATGGCAAGAGTAAAGGCACAAACCAGCTAAGCAAGACTGAATATTTTGGAAACGGAGGAACAGAAATAAACCAAGAATGCGGATTGTTAATGATATAATAACAAAGTGAAGATAAGAAAAGATTATGACGACACAAATGTTTCTCTTCTGAAACTGGGCAATACCAGCCCTTCTGCAAAGCAATAATTCTTATTATCTGGTATAAGTATACATTCTTCTTTCTGGCCTGGGAATAAAGCTAATCATGGAAAGCTGGATATGGCTTTGATGCTTCCAAAATATTCCAGATTACTATTTATAGGTGAACCCAAGAGCAGTCAGGACCTGGCTGTAGAGAGAGCACTTAATGAGATAGATTCCTCCAATATTTAAATGGCTCCTCAGCTGTACCAATTAGGGACTTACAGAAGTATGTACACAAACCTTTTAAGGCAGGGGCTGACCATCTGTCTAAATTATATGGAGAAGGGGTTCCAGCCTAGCCTAACAAGCTCTGTCCCTATTTCCTCTGTAGATATCAAGCCCATCCCTAGGCTAAGACCAGGATTCTTCAGATGGAATCTCAGAAACCCAGGGGTTTTGTCTTTTTCCTTAGGGACCTCCATGGAGCTCGGAAACCCCTTCCAAGCAGGGCAGTTCTAACATTACACATGCATTCACACACACACACAGAAGTTTACTGTGTGCCAGGAACCATGCTACCTTCATCTGTTTATATACTTAGTTTGTCTCTGCCAAAGTGAAGTCCCACTGATAACATCCCATGATGGCTTAACTACGATCTGTCTATAGGACAAGCAGGAGGGAAGCAGCCAGGGGAGATAGCCCTGGGAAAAGTGGACTGACTGACTGCCAAGCAGACCCAGAGAGAGACCTGGGGGATTTGATTGAAAAGGGAAAACACTCCAAGAACGGGCTTCCTTATCTGGCTACGTTTTCTTTGTAAGAGTCCAGACATTCCAAAGACTGAACTCTCTTGCAACTGTCATGGGCTCTCTGAAGACTTTTAATACATCTTGGAATCAGCTTTCAGCTTGATTTATTTTTACAAGAGCAAACACAAGAAACTGTATCTGATGTGGATGCATCTAGAACAGTGAAATAGTCACAAATACCACGGGGCTAATGAGGCCAAAGTCAGAGGCGCAATTCACGTACAGACCAGTTAACTTTGCTAAGTTGTGTGGCCTCAAACTGCAGTCATGAACCCGGATGGTCACTTCAGACACTTATGCCCTTGGTATTACCATAATCTGTGGGCACGGGTGGGGTGGGTGCGAGAGACGGCAAAGTAGCACCACCCGCAACAGATTTGGAAAGTCCGTGTTCCAAGACTGCACGGTGCCATCACTGATCTATGACCAGAATATTCTGGTCGTCGTTAGCAAAGTATTAAATGTCAAAGTAAAAATGATTTTCTGAAATTATTGATAAATTAGTCCCTTCCTTTCTTAACTATTCAGGCCTTAGCTTTTCATGATAGGTCTTCAGCACTGGGAACAGGAAGATAAAATGCAAATTAAGTCATCTAAAATACTTGTCCTCTCTATCTCATAAGTTATAAATTATAATAACACCTAAAACTTATTGAGCACACTCTGTGCCAGCACTATTTTGAGTGCTTTATACATATTAACTCACCTAATTCTAACTACCGTCTAAGAAGGGTTCATTCATTCATTCAACAAACGTTAACTGACTGCTCTCCACGTTCTGGGCAGTGGTTCTGTGTGCATACAACACTCCGTGAAGAAAGAGGTAACAGTCTCTACCTTCAGGGATAAAGGAAAATAAAGCACAGACAATTGTGCCCAAGGTCACAAAGCTAAGGAGCTGGGATTCATATCCAGGAAGGTTCTAGAATTCTTGCCCTTAAGAGCTACATTTTTCTGCTGAAGCTTTTTGCCAACCTAGGAGGAGGAAGCCTCAAAGAAGGCCCTAGAATCACGGAATTCTAACACTAAGAGGGAGATGCTATGCATCATCTTGTCCAAATACGCTCAGGTGTGCCACTCCTCCCCACTTCCAAACCCTCGGAAGGTATCTCAAAAATACAGCATTCTTCCCGTCTGAGCCTCGGTGTAGAGCTCTTTCTTCTCAGTACGGGGCTCCAAGCCCCCACTGTTGGCCACCTAGACCACATCCTCATTAGATAATTGTCAAATTTCTTGAGAGACTAAGAATCTTTTCCAAGGCCACAAGGCAAATGACTGACTACAATAAGTTCAGGATACAAGTCCAATGGCTCTTATCCCCCATCCTACACTCATCCCTGTTATACTGTGATTACTCGCCTACAGCCTACGTTGAGCATGTAGATTTCCCAATGAAACGCAGATAAGATCATGTATATTCTACACATAGCAGGAGCAATTAAAAAAGCAAAACAAGCAGTCTTCTACCTCTAATGCGTGGGCATAACATTCAATGCCACGGATTCTCACTCGAGATAAAAAAGGAAAACAAAAATGGAACCAACAAGTCTTTAGGCCACGGAGTTTGTAATATACAATCTCAATGTACAGGGATTTTTGTTTTCTTAATCTCCCATCTGGGAAGTTGAAAACACCCACGTACCTCACTCCCCACCCCCATCCTTCCATCCACGTTTTTATGTGCAGGACTTTTCGGGGAGAGTTTCAGTGAAAGAAACTCTGGTACAAAGAACTCATAAAACCACACTTTTAATTACTGTTCAATAGAAAGGGGACGGGGGAAGCCAGCTTTGAGTTCTGGTAACAGCAAAGTCAAGGGACTTCGAAATTTCAGAGGTTCCCCTCTGAGAAACAACGGAGTGGATTCGGAGTCCAGTGACTCAGGTAACTGGGGAGCTGGCAGGGCCTTGTGGGTTGAATGCTCCATGAGTGGGGTCCAAAGGCACTGGTTCTATTTCCACTAACCTACTGACAGAGTCTCTGGGCCTGAGTCAGCCCTACCAGGTTTCTCAGCAACAACTCACCCAGAGTTTAATTACTGGATGATCGCAAAAGTAACTGCATGGTCTAAAATTGAGCATCTTAACGTTGACTGAGTCTATATGGCATTATTCCAAATAAACGTTTGAAGAGCTAGAAACCCTTTAGTTTACAACATGTGTAAAATTCATACGTGTGACCTAGGGATTGTAACTCCATGTCATAAAAAACATACAGACGTGTGATCAAAAGACAGATCCTCTGAAGGTAATGGGCAGAACTCTGATTACTAGAAAACCCTGTAGAAAATACAGGAAGGACAAGGGATTGAGGTTAAGTATTAGGTAGAAAAAACCCATCTAGCAATTACCACGAGAAGAGGAATAAACAGAGGAGCTGCAGCCCCAAATGTGACAAAGCCGGGCTGGAGGTCAGGGGCCTCTTCTTCCTCTTGGCTGGGGGATCTAAGGTGGTTCTTCCCACCTGGGAACAGGGCAAGTGGCCTCGCTGGAAAAATGCACCCCTTGACTACCTTCATTGCATTTCATGAGCATTCAGAAAAAATGTAAAAAAGAAAGACAAAGTTCTCTGCAACAATTAAGTTTTATTCACATGACAAATGCTTATCGAGCAACTACTATGTAGTCCCTGGTGCTTTAATTTAGCGCAAGGGAGTGCAGTTACGTGACATCAGCAAAATTAAGTTTTCTAAGCGTGGAAACAAACCTTGCTTTAACTCTGCACTCACCCCAAATGTAATCAAACCCCTAAAATTAAAGAACGCCACGAGTGAGTTACAAGATTCTTTCTTAACAATATTTTCTAGAAGTTATCTACCCACACGCAGAAACGGAAGGTCAGGTTACATTAGTTGACCTCTTCTGTAATTAATACAGTTGACACTGCTTCCCATTAAGATTTTGCCTGGCAAGCAATCCAGGTGAGTGTGGAAGAGTTTCTAAGTTCTGTAAGAAAAGAGTGCAATAAAACTTGTGCCATAATAATCCCTTTAAAGCCCAAACACTTCCAGATGATAAAAGAGTCAAAGACTATGAATGCCATTCAAAGAGAAAAACCTACTGATTCTTTGCAAATTCGAGATACACTGATAGCATGGAAGGGCTGCCCTCGGAGGTGGCATCTGTTGTGGGGGTGGGGGGTGGGAGGAGGCCGTACCTGCTGCCTGTTGTTGGGCGTGTGTGGGAGCATGGTGCACACATGGAACATAAGCTCGTAGTCTTTGTACGTCGTGTACAGGGAATGCGTTCCTGTAGAATCAGCTGAAAACAAAGATTAATTGCAAGAACAAGTTAGGCCACTGCAGACTAGCAATTCAACACTTAGAAGGTCATTATTACAAAAGGCAATTCAACCGAAAAGAACAGACCTCCCAACGATAAAGGACCAGTGTCTTGGGGGTGGCCCCGCTCTCTCACTAGGCCCTGTTTCTCCCACTTTCCAGCCCACGCCTGCGGCCTGAGTTTTGCCATCTGCTCTCACCCAGGCGCTTTCTACTGAACGCGTGGTTTCCCCTCCCTTTTCTTCTACACTCTTGCCTTCGCAGTGCTAACTTAGATGACCCACATGGGCGAGATGCTGCTGCCACAAGAAGTACAGGTGAGCACAGGAGGAGGTGTGGCCTGGCGCCGGTCTGGGTGCAATTATTAGACGGGGCTGAGCTAACCAGAAGTTATCCTTGCCCCATCGTGTGTGTGTGCACGTGCGTGTGCGTGTGTCTACAGTTAATTATCAGTTGTTCTTGGGCACTTGACCCTCCAGAACCCAGAAAAATGAAACAGGATTGACTTCATATAGAAATGGGAATGAAAGATGTTAAGGATTTCTTCCCCGAATGATGGAAGTAATTTTCTTCTCTTTCTGACAGGCAATGCGATGATGCAGTCATATGACTAAGACCAGGGAGGATGAATGTGATCTCTTACTGCATATGATGCACTGATACATGTTAAAAAAAACTATGACATCTGAATCCCTGTTAATCATACAGCTATTCATCTTTTGAAAAGCAGAATGATTCTGTGCAAATTCGAAACCCATCTGTATTATCAACAGATTACCTCACTGAGAGTTTCAGACACCCAAACCAACAGTGACTATAAAACGTTTAAATAATAATTTTAGGACGGAGGTTTGAACCACTTTGCATATGGATAAAGACAAAAAGATAAATAGAAATTAAGATGTAAACAGAACTCAAGACTGCCCTTCTCAATCCTTGATCTATATACAGGTTTATCGTCTACCTTTTAAACAACAACAAACAATACTGTTCGATATTATTGAAAACAAAGTTTATTCCATTGTGTTTGTTGGGGAAACTCTAAGTAGTGATCTTGGGCTAACCTTTTTTTAATCTGAAAATTAAAATTTTTACTTTAAGAACATTAAAACACTTCACCTTCATGGGCATTTATTATTTTCTTTCTAAATCATGCAACATATTCTTATTTCCAACATTTATATCCAACTCAGAAATAGTCCTGAAAATCCTCTAGAAAAAAGTATTGCATACAGTTTTGTGCTGAGAGGTACTCACAGAAGGAAATTTCACGCCTAAGGGGAGTATGTAGAATGTTAATCTATGGATACTGATAAATTAACTTGCAGACGGTCAGAGAGGATATTCATCTAATAAGCTCTATATTATCCAGCCCCCATTTTCTCTTTTAGCTGTTCATTAAATGCATATTTGTTATTTTTCTTAGGACTTCTTAGAGAGTAATCTTCCATTTCAACTGTCTTGTCTCAGGATCTTAAGGATGAAACGTGGCTTTGGAAGTGAGCAGGCCGGTCATGATGGAATGACGACTGCTCCTCCCACGAAGAAGTAACACTGAAGGTCAGAGGATGAACTAACCCTGCAGGTTCAATGACTCCCCTCACAACGTAAGTTACTACGATGCTTAAAATTCAGTATGAGAAATGCTGACAGATATTTCACAGTCTGGTCAATGGGCTTCAGATTCAGGAAATCATAATGAAAAAAGAAAAATGCACTTTTAGGGGGAAGCGGGAGAAACACTCTCAAAAATGTGGTCATAATTTGTCTATCTCAAGTAGTGCTAAAGGACGAATTTCTAAAATTAAGTATTCAATATTTTCAAAGTTTTTATTTTAAACATCAGAAGGGTAATGCAAAAGGTCAGCTCAAGCTTGTTCAGGGGTTTGCTGCAAATATTTCTGTTCAAAAGGAGATACAGGGGGGCTTTCCTGGTGGCGCAGTGGTTAAGAATCCGCCTGCCAATGCAGGGGACACGGGTTCGAGCCCTGGTCCGAGAAGTTCCCACATGCCGTGGAGCAACTAAGCCCGTGCGCCACAACTACTGAGCCTGCGCTCTAGAGCCCGTGAGCCGCAACTACTGAGCCCGCGTGCCACAACTGCTGAAGCTCGCGCACCTAGAGCCTGTGCTCTGCAACAAGAGAAGCCACCGCAGCGAGAAGCCCGCACACTGTACCAAAGAGTAGCCCCTGCTCACCGCAACTAGAGAAAGCCCGCACGCAGCAACGAAGACCCAACGCAGCCAAAAATAAATAAATAAATTTATTTAAAAAAAAAAAGAGAGAGAGAGATAAGGGCCATCACGGCAGTCTCCGGTTTTATCATTCTCTGCAGCCAACCAAAGAAAGGCCGGCCACGGCCTGGGGGTCTATATTCTACTGGATAGCAGAGCACCTTAGCGGCTCACAGCGCCTCTGCTCCTACCCCATTTCATTCTGTACTTAAGAGAGGAACAACCCATTTTAAAGCTGGAAGGGACATCTCAGATACTCTAGCCCGAAACTCTGACTTTTCTTTGTGAAGAAAATGAGGCCCAGATTTGCCCAAGGTCCTGTGGGCAGGCGGAATGAAAACTGCAACACAACTCTCCTGTATTTAAGAAGGAAGATATTTTTTTTTGCCCACTTCATGAAAGACATACTTTTTATTTGACCACTCCATGAAACATAATTCTTAGAGACCTCCTCTCTAAAGGCATGCCATGATTTCTTTGCATCTCATAGAAGGTCCTGCTCATAAAAATAGAAGACTCGCTGATTATTAGAATCAACATATCAAAATCTTGTTCTGAAGTTATCATTTCCTTGTACCAAAGTACTTAGCACTACCTCTGTAACGTATTAAAGACGTCTCTCAAGCCATGAAAACTCCCAGCTGATGTCAATTCTATACATAGGAGAATATCTGCATTACCTCTGTTGTAGTTTTATAGAATGTACAGCTCAGAAGCTCTTAAAATGCTTCCCCAATCCACCCCACAGCAGAGGGACGGCAGGCATGCATAGCAATGAGTCCACGTTGGCAGTGGTTCTCCTGGAAGGACGTCCCTAAGGCTGGCACGCCAGCACCTCTAGGGGGTATGTGACTGTCTGTGGGCAAGGGGAGTTTGCACAGGAAACAGAGGAGAAAATCAGAAAAGGTCTCACTGATCCTTCTTAAAAGATGTGGATACTTGCGATGGCTGTCACAAATTATTTTCTAGCCTTAATATTTCTGAGGCATGAGCTATACACATTCAGCCTAATAGTCAAACTCCAACCTTGGCGTGTGTGGAGGACACACAGGGCCCGCATGTGAGCCAACACCGTGTCCAGGTCTTGCGATCTATCCTCTAAGTGTTAACTTTCAAAAACAGATCAAAACCCCAGAACTGATGACAGGCCACGCGCACCAAGAATGGCACCACCGGCGATCTAGGCAAGTATCTCTGATGGTCGCAAGGTGAGCGGGCCAGGGGCCGCAGGGGCTCAGGTGGCCTCCATGCCAACCCTGGCTCGGCCACACGTTGACCCTCCCCCAGGGAAGAGTCCCCGCCGGCCCCTCCTCTAGGGCTAGATGCCCCCCCAGACCTCCAAGTTCAGAATCTATCTGCTCATCCTTCATTAAAAGAGCAAGCGCTCAATTGCTTGACGATAAGCAGAATTTCCCCAGATTCACAAAATTATCCTGCCTGGTATTTTTACCAGGTGTGCTGAGAGCAACTAAATGACAACACAAATACGAAGGTGAAACGCTTCGAATTTATGAGGGCCATAAGGAACACGGTTACCTAAATGGAGAGACAAGACAAATTCACACATCATAGGAGGGGACCTGACTAAGGTTCTTGGAAAGCAGCATGCGTCAGCTTTTTCATCACTGCTTCAGCTCCCCAGGTAACATCGTGAAAACGGAAACAAGCAAAGATAAGGCCGTGAGCACGGCCTGAGTGGATGTGGTGATGTTTAGACTTTCAGAAATGAATGCGGGGCTCATCCTTGCTGCAGTGGGACAGGGTGTAACGGACAGGTGAGGTGAAAAGAAAGAAGAACGTATTAAAAGATTATTCACCAAACACCGGGGAATCTCTGCTCTTGTTACATGGGAACAAGAATTGACCCTTTGAGCTTATGAGAGACACAGAGCTCTTGAGAAATGTGCCCCCTCTGCTCATCTGAGGAAATCTCAACTCCATCCCAAATAAGCCAGCTCGGCTGCTGCAGGGGGTCAAGAAGGGGAGGGCTCGGGATCGCTAGCTTAGATGTCTGGGGGTGCGCCTACTTTTGGAGCATTAAATCTGTGCACACACAAGCAAGTCTGAAGCTTACTTTTATTGTCCAGCTGAGCCCGGTATTTACTAAATCCTTTCAGCCGCACCCTCTGGCCCAGCAGATCGAGGAATTCTTCAAAAGCTGGTCCGGCCGTCTCGTTGTTGTACATCTCCTCCTCGGTGCTCTGGCCGGCTCTGCAATACAGGATCCCGATCTTGTGCTGAAAGCTCAGCTGAAATGGGGCAGAAAGGGAATTACTCGGCAAAGAGTATCAGACAAGGACGCCTGAAACTAAGCAACATTGTAAATCAACTCTATTCCAATATAAAATAAAAATCAAATTAAAAAATAAAATGGGGGCTTCCCTGGTGGCGCAGTGGTTGAGAGTCCGCCTGCCGATGCAGGGGACACGGGTTCGTGCCCCGGTCCGGGAAGTTCCCACGTGCCGCAGAGCGGCTGGGCCCGTGAGCCATGGCCGCTGAGCCTGTGCGTCCGAAGCCGTGCTCCGCAACGGGAGAGGCCACAACAGTGAGAGGTCCGCGCATCAACAAAAAAATAAAAATAAAAATAAAAATAAATAAAAAAATAAAAAAATATAAAAATAAAATGAAAACAGAAAGTATCAGACAAGCTAACTTCCAGTAAAATTAAAATGACAAAGAGCTGAGAATTCTGTTCTCAGGAAAGCATGTCAGGACAATTCCCATAAGCTAAGAAGCAAAAGAATAAGCAGCTGTCACTGTACACAATACTCCAAATACATAACAAACCCAGAAACCCGGACATAACAGTTGGAGAAACGTCAGACACCCTAAGAAATATGATGAATGGCCTTGCCCATGTGGGAGTTGCCAGGTTTCCAAAATGGAGAGCCAGGTTCAAGCGTTTATTTAAAAATACAACTGTGGAAATATTTAATCTCATACCCTCTACACAGTCATGAGCATTATCTTCCAAGTTAGAAAGAGAAAAGGGCTGCACACTTTAAAAAGTTTTCCCTCTCTGGTTCCTCACGCTTTTCTGTTGTCGTTATTTGAACATTCATGGAAATATGAAAGACTGTAATTTAAAAAAGCAAATCAAATTCAGGTCTGGTAAGGAAATTGCGATATACGTATAGTGATAGAATAATGTTTTGTTTCCACAAAAGTAACTCTGACTCAACAATTACAGTCATTTCTACATTTTTGACTGGCTTGAAAACATCTGCTAGATATACAATAGGCCATAAAGAATTTTAATAGGAATTGAAGATTTCCTGCTGTAGCTCTATCTCCCTGTCTATCCCGTATTGTGCTGGAAGCTACCACACTGCTTTCTCCCAAGGCCAGGGAGAAACTGGATCCACCTTTACAGCTTTCGTATTTTCCCTAAAGAGGGACTACTTGTCACTCAGGAAATCAGGGCACTTCATCTTACTAGCAGCAATCTGAGCCTCCAAAGGCTGGCGGATTATCAGCCCTCTCTGATTCCCTAAAGGCATCCATCCGTAACACTGTTCACTTTTATTATCAGCTGTAAAACAGAGCCTTTAATCAAAACTCATAGCTGACTAGATCAGTAAAATAAGGTAAAATGGTACTCATTTCCCTTGAGTGGCAAAGTGATCACAGCAGTCTCATCCGGGTGACCAATGACAAAGTACAATCCAAGCAAGGTAGGGATCCGCCTGCTTGGGGCATCTCGGCAGAGATGCTAGGGGAAGCTCAGAGCTGGGCGGGCAGCCGACCGCCAGTACATTCTACACACATTCCACCTCCTGAGTGCTACGGGGGAGAGGGGAGGAACCAAACGAGACATCAATCACCTGTTCCTAATTGGACCGGATAAGCTACCTACAGGGATGGCTCCCACGGTGAGGGGTTTGGGGGGCGGGTAGAGAGCGCACAGGCCCCAATCACACAGTGAAGACAAGGATCCAGGCCCTGAATGTGGGGCTATGAGATGCTGGCCATAAGCTGTTAGTGTTATGAGCTGTGCTGTACTAGTCCTTTAGCGGCGTCAAGACAGAAAAAACATTTCTATTTGCCCAGGGATTGAGGAATAAATGTTTCTGATCAACTCAACTATCCAAATAAATGAGACACCACACTTAACGCAAACAGACCATCATCCTCCAAAAGCAAGGAGTATAATACAAATGTCTCATATTATTTCACTAATTGTTTCAGAACACTAATTGTTCTGAGGGACCCAGAAGACACTCCAGGATCTTAGAGTACTTTAGGAAACACTTGGGATTGGCAATTGTCACCACAGATGTGGATCGCCTTGGTGACTGCCAGAACTGGATAAATCCTCTAACGGGACCTCTACGAGACTGCTGTACCTCCTCGACACCATGATGCTTGGACCTCCCGCCTGCTGTTAGAAGCGGATTTCCGCTCTCCCCAGCTGTCCGACCCTGGCCTCATGGAGAGTCCCCCAGAGATCCTGTGGAGTGATTAGCGGGCACCGGTACCCAGGGCCCCACGAGCCCCCGCCCACACATCCTCCACACCCAGCAGGGGCGGCCGTACCACCACCCACATCCTGGGAGCTCACTGTCCCAAGGCTGCCACCCTGTCTGTCCCCCTGCCTGCCGCCCCCCCAGAGCCCTGCCACCTCTCCTGGTGCCACCTCTCCTGGTGCCACCTCACGTCGCACCCCTGCCACACCTGCAGCTTGTCCCAGGCAGCCCCGCCATCCCCAGCAGGAAACCCTTCCTCTGCCTCTTTGCGGAGCAGGCCCGGAGCAAAGCTGTCTGGGGCCCCAGGGGTGGGGCCGCGGCGGCCCCATGCGGGTGGAGCAGAGCCTCCCTGGACCAGCACAGTTTCTCTCTGATTCCTGACTCTTGCGGACCTGATACTTCCTGTGGACTCAGGCAAAGGCCAAATTCCTGGAGAGCTGAAGCCCCCGGAGCTTCCCTGCTGAGCGCGGTGCCATCCGCTCACACCCCTCTCCTTCTAGCCATCGCAGACCAGCCTGTGTCTACATCCCAACTGGGAACAGGACTTGCTTTCTACCCAAACAGCCCTGGGCCCATGGGAATCAGGGGATGAGGCTAAATTAGACTTCAAAGCCCCCAGGTGTCTTGCCCCAGCTCCTAGAGCTCTGCTCCAGTGACTGAGAATAAACCACTGTGGCCTGTTTACTACAAGGCCTGTGATTCCACTAAAACAGTAAGAGGATGAGACACGGTGTGAAGGAAGAGACCTCTCTCACTCCAATCTCTTATAAACCTCACAAAATCAATGGAAATGCAACACCAAGGCTGACCCCCTCCTGCCCGTGGTTCACCAGAAAGCTGGCACACCTCTTCAGCCTGATCGCAGTTCCAAGGGGAGGACAGACTCCAGGTCCCCATGAACTAAAACCCCCAGTTCTCTCGGAACAAGGCTTTGTTTCTAAGCCCTCTACACCTCAGGCTGAGTCTAACCACGCCCCCGTCCCACTGACCTTCCTTTAACTGTTGTGATGCGAATCACAGCCAGTCCCACTGTCCTGGGGTGAACGAGGCCGGCACTTGGGCGTCACCACGGTCAAAAACTAAAAACACCCACTTGCCCAAACTCTATACTGCTCCCGTGCCCAGAGTTGGACACACAGACCCTGCACGGACAGGCAGACGATCCCTTGCCTCCTGGGACTGGATAAAAACTGAGTGCTCTGTTCCAAAGGCCAGAAGCCCCGTCATTATTGACAAGAAAATTTAAATTTAAAGGAAGGTGACAAAAAACAGAGCCTCAGAATGGCCTCGAAAATAAATTCAGGTGTGCAGGAAAGTCCTTCCACTGCATCCTCCCAACTCAACCACCTGCTCTAAGCGTGTAGTATCATGGATTTAGACCCGCTTGACTTCGTGTCAAGTAAACCTGGTACGTGAGTGAACATACATCTGGGTGAGGAGGCAAGAGCAGAAGGGGTGATTGGCTTGTGAACAAATTAATCCAAAGATGCCCTAATATTCTAAGTTAGTGAGCTGTCATAATGTATCTGAATTAATTTTTTAAGAAGTCAACCTAGTGGGGAAAGATAAATTAGGAGTTTGGGATTAACAGATACACACTACTATATATAAAATAAACACAGGGAACTATATTCAATATACTGTAATAACCTAAATGGAAAAGAATCTGAAAAGGAATACATATCTACGTATAACTGAATCACTTTACTGTACACCTGAAACTGACACATTGTAGATCGACCACACTTCAATCAAAAAAAAAAAAAAGTCAACCTATATAATCTTAGGAATTCACCTGTTATACAAACTAGGATAGTCTTTTAAAAAAGGAAAAAATGGTATCTTAGAGGTTGGGAGGTGAATTTATGTAGATAAAGTAGCAAAACTTTCAAAGTCCTGATTGATAATTACTTCCCTTATGATTCTCCATGGCATGGAGTCTTCCTGTTCAAAACATCTTACCAAATGCAAAGAACGGAATGAATGACCCGATACCCACCATATCTCCCACTGATACAACATACCTTGCGCAGAGCAGATAAACACAGTGACTGCCAAACCAGGAATGGATCCCAAACTCCAAGAAAGCAGAAAACGACAATATGTCCTTTAAAGTATTTTTTCAAGAGTAAAACCCCTTAAGACCAGTAACATAAAACTGGCCCATCCCCTCCCTGGGAAGATTTTCTATCAGGAAAGTAGATAAAGACAGCACTACCCAGAAGTGACTCACAACACCTCGACAGGTTAGGGCAGCTTTTAAGGATCCTTTGGAAACCAGGATGTTAGAAAAGCTGTCTAATATCTTTCAGAGATGAGCATAAATAGTAAGTAGCTCTTGCTGACGTAATATGGAAATGAGATACCACTAAGAGTCGGGGGGCGTTAAAATGTCATATTGTACACCATTATGAAAGTATACCAGAGTCAAATAAACATAATCTCAAAAGAAAAAACACATGAATACAGTCAGAGCTCTAATTGTACTGGTGTGCTTAAAACAAGCACCCAGTTCTCAAAATTAATTCATTGACGTCAGATTGTTAACAGGTGTCCATTCAAAGTACCTGAAGGCTTAGTTGAAGAGAAATTCCCTGGCAGAGCCATTTTTATAACCTTCACTGCTTCCCACCGGCCCAGCTCCTGGACCTGTCCTGCCGGACAGACATCCCAAGAAGTGTCTGCTTCATTCTGTGAGGAGACAGTCACCTGTGGCTGCTGTAACGTCTCTCAGGGCTTGGGCGTCAGGATCCAGGCTGGGGAACACAGGGCCACCTGTGGACTCCTCCACAGCAGCCTGAGGGACCAAGCACCTCATTCGCCAGGCACCTGCTACCCAGCAGGTGAGGGACATGTAATCAAGGGAGAAGCAACAACACACCAGAAACATAAAGGGATGAAGACCACGGGGGTCGGCACCTCTCTTCCAGACTCTTCCATGACACGGAAGTGAATGTGTAACAGAGCAGGACCCTATGGGGCCTTCCCAGGACAGGCCCCTCCCCCATATCCTCTGCTCTAGCTCCTCACTGAAGTACCCAGATAACAGACCAGATAACAGTATCTGACGCCTATTTCCTGAGTTGTTTTTCAGATGCTAAAACCACCCCCAAATGGAAGAAATTACTTGATGATCATGAGCACGTAGCTCCCAGACCTTCTGGTGCCTAAGGACTGACCACCATCAGCCAATCAGAGAACTGTGCATGAGCTGATCACAGACCCTGGGGTTCCTCTCCCTCACCTGGCCTTTAAAATTGCTCTGCTGATCAAAACTACAATGAGGTATCCCCTCACACCAGTCAGAATGGCCGTCATCAAAAAATATACAAACAGTAAATGCTGGAGAGGGTGTGGAGAAAAGGGAACCCCCTTGCACTGTTGATGGGAATGTAAATTGATACAGCCACTATGGAGAACAGTATGGAGGTTCCTTAAAAAGCTAAAAATAGAACTACCACACAACCCAGCAATCCCACTCCTGGGCATATACCCTGAGAAAACCATAATTCAAAAAGAGTCATGTACCACAATGTTCATTGCAGCTCTATTTACAATAGCCAGGACATGGAAGCAACCTAAGTGTCCATTGACAGATGAATGGACAAAGAAGATGTGACACATATATACAATGGAATATTACTCAGCCATAAAAAGAAACAAAACTGAGTTATTTGTAGTGAGGTGGATGGACCTAGCATCTTTCATACAGAGTGAAGTAAGTCAGAAAGAGAAAAACAAATACCGTATACTAACACATATATATGGAATCTAGAAAAAAATGGTTCTGAAGAATCTAGGGGCAGGACAGGAATAAAGATGCAGACGTAGAGAATGGACTTGAGGACACAGCGAGGGAGAAGGGTAAGCTGGGACTAAGTGAGAGAGTGGCATGGACATATATACACTACCAAATGTAAAACAGATAGCTAGTGGGAAGCAACCGCATAGCACAGGAGATCAGCTCAGTGCTCTGCGACCATCTAGAGGGGTGGGAGAGGAGGGGTGGGAGAGGGAGGGTGGGAGGGAGACGCAAGAGGGAGGGGATATGGGGATATATGTATACGTATAGCTGGTTCACTTTGTTATACAGCAGAAACTAACACACCACTGTAAAGCAATTATATTGCAATAAAGATGTTAAAAAAAAAAAAAAAAGAAGAAGAAAAAATGCTCTGCTGAAACCCTTCGGGGAGTTTGAGGTTTTTGAGCACAAGCCACTCATTCTCCCTGTACTGGTGATTTTACAATAAACGCTGCACTTTCCTTCACCCAAACCCGGTGTCAGGAGATTGACTTTACTGCACCTACCTGCAGGTGAGTGGACTCAGGTTTGGTTCGGTGACAAATGCTGTCCTTCCCACCAAGCCCTCCTGAACTCTGAGTCCCTGGACCAGCAGCGACACACCCGCTCTGTCCCTCCATGACAACAGGATTTCCTCAACTGCCTCATGACATGACCATTCTAAAAGCACTTTACCAGTGATGACCATGATGAACTCTTCTGTGGGATTTTAGAAGCCAACTGTTCAAGGTTCAAGTTTTGGTTTGGTTTAGTTGTTGTTTTTAATATATCAGCCTTCATTCTTGAGAAAGACAGACTGCAGGACTATCCACTCTGAATGTCACAGTGCCTGCTTCCTCTGGCTGAGAATGCAGTGTTAATTTCCTAGTGCAATTACAACTTCATCTCTTAGGATTCCAGCCATCTGAGTATCAAATACCCCACCAATATACCACAGGGAGTGTGTTACTGGGTCCACCAAGAAATCCCGCACACTCCCTCCAAGACATGAGAAAGAATTGTCCTTGGAAAATTCTGGAAAGACATCACAATTGTCTTTTTCTTTCTGCAAAGCATGTATTTAAAAACAAATCCACACATTTAAAATAAAATGCATACCCTTGGGCACCGACCACTCAGTTTCGCCTCCAAATTATCTTGCATCTGAAGTTAAAAGGCTTCTTTCCATCTTCTGGGCCACCACCTAAATCCTGTCCATCATTAATTCTCTCCCGGATGCTATTAATGATCACATAATTGAGCTCCAGGCCATCACCAGGCTCTACCTTCACCAGCCTGTCCAGTACCCTTCTACCAGAATAATGGTCCTAAATTACGGCTACGAGCATGTCACATCCTACCGGCAAACCTTCAATGTTCCCTACCACCTCCTGGATCCAGTGCTAACTCTTTAGCCCAGCATTCACTCCAGCCTCAACATATTTTGTGACTGTTGTTGTTTTAACTCCTAACCTCCCTGCGTGTGCCCTTCTCTTGTAAAGAAACTGGCCATAGTTTCTAAAAGAGCCAACTGCTCGTATCTCCCTGTTGGAACTCTACTCAAGTCTAAAGGCCCAGTTACAACACCGCCTCCTTCAGATGTTACTTTCTCTTTGCCCAGAGCACACACTGCATTTCTATGTCTCCATGACCCATGACTACACTAACGGCCGTGGTGTTCTTCGTCTTAATGGCCCCAAGGGTAGGGACCAAGTCTTAGCTTCAAGCCTCCTGATACGTGCTGTTCACGGCCATCTGTTAGCATGACACTTTGCACATAGCAGACAAGAATAAATGTTAGTTCGGGGAAAGGCCCAACGTGAGTTCTTTACACCCTGGGAAAATACACCAGCGGTCTCTAATAATCATGAATCAGATCTGCTCCTGCTGGCTGGGACATACCAAAACCCTGGTAAAAACAATGCAAGTCACAACGCAGCAGGAGGTGCATTGCACTTATTATTAAAGGCATCATGTTACTTAACTAGTATAGAGGCATAGTTGAGAAAAACTGGAGGAAAATGCTTTAAGGCATTAAAAATAAATGATCTCCAAAGGCAGATGGATGGGAAAACTCCAAAACATTCAGAAACATGGACACAAAGTCCCGCACACTTACAGTCTCCCACGTGATACACACCCCTTGCTCATCAAGTTTGAGCAGCTGCTCCGACACCTTGGGTGAGCTCGAGGCCTGCCTCAGGCACTGGATGCTCAGCTCTGGAATGACGTATTCCAGGACTTCTTTGAGAGGGAGTCCCCGTGCAGTCCCATGCCTGGCGGTAGAGGGTATGGCATCTTCCAAAATCGCTCCTCTCAGGGTTGTCAGCTGCAGGGGCAAATACAACATTCCGGTTAACACTTATTCCTGGCTACCTCTTTAAAGCATAACTTTTTAGTTGCCTTAAAAAAAGAGGAAGAGAGAATGGACTTGAGGATATGGGGAGGGGGAAGGGTAAGCTGTGACAAAGTGAGAGAGTGGCATGGACATATACACACTACCAAACGTAAAACAGATAGCTAGTGGGAAGCAGCCGCATAGCACAGGGAGATCAGCTCGGTGCTTCGTGACCACCTAGAGGGGTGGGACAGGGAGGGTGGGAGGGAGGGAGACGCAAGAGGGAAAAGATATGGGGACATATGTATAACTGATTCACTTTGTTATAAAGCAGAAACCGACACACCATTGTAAAGCAATTATACTCGAATAAAGATGTTAAAAAAAAAAAGAGGAAGAAAGCTAAGGCTCTTTTTGGAGTGGGGCAAAAGAGGCTAAAAGTTCTCGATCTGAAAAATTCAACACTCAACAGTCAGTCTTTGAACAACCGAAGGATTCGTGCGTCAGGAAGGAGCTGATATAACCAGACGTGCGTGAAACACGAGGAGGAGTGAGACAAAGCCCTGCCCGGGGACATTAAGTCACTCCCACCACGATCGGAACCGACAGAAGAGGGATGCCGAGGATGAGCCGGGGGTCCTAGGGCCAGGCTAGCCACAACGACCTCCTCCATCCTTCCGTTTTCTTTTTCCCATTTTTCTCTACATCATCTTCTTTTCTTCCACTTTTCCTATTTAACCTTCCATGGCTGGCAATTCCCGAGGCTGAGTGGGGCGATCCCGTGGCCCCCGTGGGCAGGTGACCCAGGGCTGGGAAGACCACCACCGGACTCTGCCTCCTGATCTGTGATATGTCCTCAAACACGTCGTGAAAGCCTGGAGCCACTAGTCTGACACGTGTCATCTAAGCCCAGGTCAAATATGCGGAGAGAGGAGGCCCAGCACGGCCAGCCGAGAGCTCTGGTTCTAATCCCACCCCTCCGACAAAGCAGCCGTAGTGACGTGGTAACAACGGCGCCTAGCATTTGCACAGAGCTCCAGGGCACCGCTGTGCAACAGGACTTTCTGCGGTGATGAGACCGCCCTCCATCTGCACTGGCTGATACGGGAGCCACCAGCCCCGAGTGGCTGCTGAGCGCCTGACCCGTGACAGGTGTGACCGTGGAACCACATTTTTTATTTTATTCAATTACCTTAAATTTAAATAGTCACACGTGGTTAGTGGCTACTGAACGGGATGCTGCAGGTCCGTAACTTACAATATGTCACCTCCAGAGAGGGCTTCCTTTCCTCTTTACGGCACAGAGCCCAGTTCACGGGAGCACCGATGCACAGGCAGTGGGCACCAAAGTGCCAGGCTTGGGCAGGGCTGGCGAGGGGCTCTCTGTACCCTGATGCAGAAGGGATCACATTCTGGACTGTGTGGACGACACATTCCCATCTAATTACAGTGGTCAAGAGGATAAAACCTGAAGTGCAGGCCAGATCTAGTTCTTCATATAAATCAACATCCCCGCCTACAGAGCTCCACGCATCGGCCATATGGTGTATAACAGTCGCACTTTTCACTCAAAGCAAGACCAGCGGGGAAGTAGCCTGGGTGCTGGCGGGACAAAGTGCAGGGCCACAGAGCTGCTGCACCTACAGACACGCTAAGCCAACACCCACCCCACGGGCAGCCTCCTGGTTTTCTGCATTCGACGCTGAAGTCGTCCTTCAATTCTGACATGAATCATAGAGTTCAAGTTTGTCCTCTGCTTCAGGCCCGAAAACCTTGCATTTTGATCATTTTATCCTTTCTGTCATGTAAGGTGGCAGTCAAATCACTGCCACATCCATCAAAGGTCTTCACATTTTCTACTTTGAACAAAACACTCTAAGCCCTTTTGGTCACCGGAACGGCTGGGATCACAGCACTGACAATGAAAGCAACGCCTTAACCAAGCGGTGACCCCGAGGCCCAGCCCAGGACACACCCATGAGCGCCCAGTACCTCGCTCGTCCTGAAAGCCACCCGGTAGTTGAACTGGGACCCTTCTTTCTCCTTGGGGTCTTCCACCTTCTCCCTCCGGATGCTGACTGCCACAGGGCCGAGGTTCTCATCAATTCCAAAGTAGTTCTGGTGCTCTG